GTATGTGTTTGATTGGTTAGCTGAGCCCGGATATGACAAGATTGGAGCCTCAAATTCAACAGATTCTTTTGGTGTGCATACATTGTCGTTCATTCTTGTAGATTTTTCGAGAAATTCTTCAGTTTTGTGCGAGAAAAGCAGGCCGAACAGCATGCCTAATTGGAGCATAAAAGGCGAACATTCCCAAGAGAAGATGATTAAAAGACGCATCGAAGGAACATGCTACACTTTTGGACGTTGATATAATTCTTGACAAACTCATTTAATATAATTTCCTTTTCAATTTTTGAGACTCAATTTAGTCCATGTTTGGTTTAGCATAAAAAATTATTTAGTCCATGTTTGGTGGTCTTTTTTTTTTTTTTTGTAAAAGTATTGTTTTGAAATGAATTTTTGGAGAATGTGTGGTTAAAAAATAGAAAAATGTTTTGAATTTACATGTAAATGTTTTGAATTTACATGTAGAAATTTTATTGTGTGAATGTGTAATTGAAAATGAATATGTAGAAAAAGAATTTTTAAAGAATGAGAGAAACATGGACTAATCTAAGTCGAAGTCAATAATTCATGTTAATCAACAGTTTATACAGTATTTTAAAAATCTCATCTAAATGGTGTCTAGGCAAGAAGCTCGGGCGAAACATCACGTCTTGGGCATGAGCGTCCGCGACGCTTTATTAAATTTTTTTTTTTATAACGTCTTTTATTTAACTTTGTTTCAAATGTTTATATGACTTTATTTGTACAAAAGTAAAATATGAAAATATGTCAAAAAATTTCGAAGTAGGAATTATCTAGCTGAAACTATGAAAAATAGTCTAATTTTTGCATTTTAAAAATTTGAAAATTGTATAATTGATTAATTGTAGGAATTATTAAGTAAATATAATATTTTATAATTTTAGATATTTGGTATGAATAATTTTAATTATTAAATAATTTTTAAAATGATAAAAAAATTAAAATAATATTAAAAATAAGAAAACGTTTTTTTACGCGTAAACCCCGCTTAGGTTTGTAAAGCTTGAAATTTGATTTGATATTCACGCCTAATTATGCTTTATATTTTTTAGAACACTGATTTTATGATAACCACAATTTTTCAACCACGGTTCATTAACTTTTATCAAAATTTACTAAAAATTTGATTTTTCACAAAATCATACAAGTTCTACGATGGAAAAAATGTCCCAACATACCATTCCGTGATAAAGCATATTGAATATGAGCATACAGAGAGAAGTGCATATCGAGTCTTCCTTGCACTAGTCTTTTTTTTTTTTTTGGCTAACGTCACTGATTGAAACTAATTTTTCCTTGCACTGATCAAATAGTCCATCTCGCTATTTCATCCGTAGAAAAATGTTTATAACCTCATCTATCAAATTGGAGTTCCGCTATGTGTACAGAAAAAGTGCTGTCAGAATTTTTACAGATAACACTTAACGATTCTCTATTGAAAAATGACAAAAAAAAAAAAAAAGAACATATGTTGCAATTTTGACAACGATTCCATTGTACAAGTGTAAGAGGAATTGCCGATCAAATTGAAGGGTTGAGACGAGTGCTTCTGTCCTCGCCAGATGCTCTGAAAATGATTGTATACTTGTAAAACTTTAGTTTAGTTTTCTTCGTTAGCGTGCGTTTTTGTTTCCTTATAAATTACTTATAAAAAAAGTTAAAGTCAAATTTTGATTTTAACAAGTCATATTACTGTAATAACTTTTATGTGTTATCAAACAAAATATAAATAAATTCAAGAAAAGAAACCAAATACTTCCCATGCTTGTATGCATGTACTTCATTCCAGAAAATAGATTAGGAGGAAAAGAAAAAAAAAAGTGAACCATGCTACACGAATATAGGGTATGACCGAACACACACTTCGGGGGTCGAACATTATTTTATTCATGCGAAACCCACGTACAATGTGAGGGTCAGTCACTGGAAGTGTCAACTATTTTCAGATAAAGTGACTTTACTAAAAATAAAAAAAAAGTATACTTTAAACTCCTGACTAGAAAAGTTAGAAAAAGGTGGCTTCTAAGTGTACCAAATCCCAAATAAGGCCATCTATATCCACTCAATTTGCTCTATTATTGACATGGACCATAACTTAAAAGTAATATATCAGTACGCTTAGTTGGATATGATTGATACTTCAATATATAAATTTTATTCGAATTACTTTTAAGTATTGAAGTTACAGGTGGAGGAACACATATCATTACTTTTTTCATACACGTCTCTCTTTTTACACTGTATTTGATTTTATAGTTTTATCCCGTAAAATGTATTATGTAAGAATGATTTTATTAAGAATGTATTGTAAAAAAGTAACTATTTTTTTTTGAAATACGTATATAATTATTTTATAAGAAAATGTCAAAATGAGTTTTGAAAAAATGAGACTCAAACAGAGGGGCTCACTTTCTCATGCAAAGCCCTAATTTTGATTTGAATTTTTTAAATAGTTTCATTTTTTTTTTGGTAGGAAGAATAGGAAATAGAGAGGTGAATAATGGAAGTTTATAGAAATTCTTCAATTTATGTTCGAGTATTTTGTAAATAGAATTATTCGATTTTATGTACTTTTTTCAACTGCACTGAAACCTTCGGTCTAGTCTGAATTTGGTTCTACCATAACATTTTTTTAATAAGAAAAACTATAAGAATCCAAAAAAATCAACTGGTTATATTTTCAAACAAAAAAGGTAAAGAAAGAGAAATTATATATGAATTTTCCATTGATTTTCAGAAGTAGTTTCATTTCTAGTTTTTCTAGGTCTCCTTCAGCAAGTTGTTCGTGGAAAGTGTGGTATCATAGTGGTGACATCGTAATTTGGCATTTGCGATCTCTGTCTTTGGGTGGGAATCTATTCTCTAACGATGTCTAGATTAGGATTGCTGGGAATGGACGGTGATTAAACCTATAAACTTTAAAAATTGAAACCATAAGGCTCCAATTAATTTCTAAAGTCGGCTCGAGAGGCTTAAAATGTACACCCCTTGTCCCTTGATATCACAACAAAAACAAAATGGGTCATGCAATCAATGTTTTTTTTTATTCTTCTCTTTTTCTCTAGAATTATAGTTTTGAATTATTACCAAAAAAAAAAAAATTAAAATAAGGTCTAGTTTTCACTCTCTCTTTACTTTTGGTCCTTTTTTTAAAAAAATTATTCTTATGTACTTCCCTTCCATCTATAAATACCGCTCTCAATAACCAAAATGTCATCTAGCATTAATTCATATGTTGACTCAACTGAAGAACCTTCAAAGTTTACTGTTGATTTCAGTTCAATAAATATTCACCATGTCTCAGGTATTTTGTCCCTTTGTTTTTCTGGAAATTAATTCTATTTTGTCACTGCTATTATGTTGAATATTATTGGATCAATTATGCTACTCGTACAATTGTGGTTTACAAAAGTGTGTTGACAAAATGACGTGGCAAGATCTAGGTCATTGATTTCAAAAACTGTTTTTTAAATCATTGGTCAAGTTGTTGCCAACACGCATTCTATAAACCAATTTTGTAACCTAACTTTGGATTACCCACCTGCATATCTTTCGCCCCTTTTTTTGCATATGATCTGTTATTCAGATGTGATCAAACGACATATTAGGTGGTTATGCGGCCCTCCCACAATTTTGTTTTGCGCATGAGGTTCAATATAGAAAATGAGATTTTAGTAATCGTAGTTGACAAAATCGATGCAATTGTATAGGCTAAAATCGTATATTTCAAGTCACTTTGTTTCTATGTAAGCATGTCTACAAAAAGAAATTCCTACATGAATCAAAACGACATGAGATGACTTCGTGGCCTGTGTAAATGATATGAAGTCTCGAATTCTTGAGGGCAGAATTTTATTTAGTAATACACGAATGATTTTTCGATTCTTAATGGGAAGGGGGAAAGCCTTATTGAACTTCGCGGTGTGTTATTTTGATTGCAGACTGTTGTCTTGAAAGTTGGCATGTCATGCCAAGGCTGCGTGGGAGCTGTGAAAAGGGTTTTAGGCAAAATGGAAGGTTTGTCAGCTCTTACGATGTCGACTATATAATTTTTTTTTTCTAGTATGTACACAAAATGGAAGGTTTGTCAGCTCTTTCGATGTCGACTATATAATTTTTTTTTTCTAGTATGTACGAGGTTCAGACCATTATCGATCATTGGAGTAATGAATCTTGAGTATCTCTATCCATTTCACATAATTTTTTGTTGCTTTTAGTATATCAGCGTTTTGGTTGATCCTGCCGCTATAATTTCTTGTTAAACTCCTACATTTACAGATAAGTAGTTCCAAATGTACACGGGCATATGCATACAAATCTTTTATATGAAGTCCTATATCCTTGAACACAACTTAAGATTGGAAGTTGGGAAAGCATTTTGAAGACTCTAATCTTTTATATGAAATCCTATATCCTCGTACACAACTTAACATGTACATTTTTTTATTTTTTTTTTAAAGTTAACAAGGTTATATATTTTGAAAATAAATCTTATAGACTCGTTACACGATCTTGTACAGGTGTTGAATCTTTTGACATTGATATTGAGCAGCAAAAAGTGACCGTGAAAGGCAACGTCCAACCAGAAGTTGTTCTGCAGACCGTTTCAAAAACTGGGAAGGCAACTTCTTTCTGGGAAGCGGTGGAAGCACCAGCCGCACCAGAATCAATGTCTGCTGAAACACTAGTTGCACTAGAATCAAAGCCTACTGAAACACCCACTGAACCAGAATCAAAGCATGCAGAAGCTCCGACTGAGCCAGAATCAAAGCCTGCTGAAACACCAATTGAACCAGAATCAAAGCGTGCAGAAGCCCCTGCTGAGCCAGAATCAAAGCCCGCTGAAACACCAATTGAACCAGAATCAAAGTGTGCAGAAGCCCCTGCTGAGCCAGAATCAAAGCCTACTGAAGCACCAGAGCCAGAATCGAAGCATGCAGAAGCTGTTGGTGTTGCTTAATATGTTTATTTAGTCTTTTAACTCTCTAGGAATGGAATTGTGTTGCGTTGTGGAGTTTTTTCAAGTTTGTATGAATATATCCCATAAAATTAACTTCTTAAATGCTCTTTTATTTTATTGATATTATACAAAGGGTACTGGGACGCCACTTTGCTTCTATCCTACAATCCTACCTTTGTACTATCACGGGATTTATTTTCGTTGTCGGCATTAACTCGTCTCTTACCGGCTTTTCCCATGATTATGCTTCGGATTTAGAAGCTTTTAATTCTTCTCATACTCGAGTTAAAGTGTACTTAACTGTACAATTTTTAATTTTTTCATCTCAAATCTCTTCTTACTCGTTTGGCTTCAAATTCTCCATTTCCATTTCTTCCTGAGCTTTATACCATGGTTGGTTTCTTACACACTCTGTGTCTAAGTGCGTGTTTTTGTAAGGAAGAAGAGAGAAGAATAGTTGAAAGCATTTGAAGTGTGTAAAAGGCATTTCAAATTCTGTTAATCATTGTTTGATAGGAAGAATTTTTCATGAAAGTTGGAAATTATTTTTCATTTTCTACCTTCTAGGCTGTTTGATAGGAAAAAATACTAGACAATTTGTTTTCCAACTTATACTTCACGTGACCCTATTTTCCACATTTTCCTTGAATTGGTTTTCCCATGAGTTTTGTGTTTTTTGGTTTTCTAGGCAATTTTTTTTTTTGGTAATTGAAACAAATTCTATCCTCAATTGTAACAAATTCTATCATTTAAATGAACAATTTTCATGGAAAACAAAGCCAAATGAACACCAAAAGATCCAAAATTTCAATATTTTTCAGGTAAAAAATTATACCTATTAAACACAATTAATTGACAATTCTCAGCAAAACAAGTTCTAGACAATTCAATTCCCTAAAATTCATTTTATTTCCACATAAATTTCATTCTTGCAATCAAACGGACTCTTAAATTTTTTAGTTTTTTTTTTCCTATTTTCCGGGCAAAATATATTGCCCGACCGACAATTTTCGTCTAATTCCCCCAAGATAATGGTTTGTTTTCAAAAACATTTTCTTACAAGTGAAGTAATGTGTGATTCTTTAAAATAATTTAGTATGCAAATTCCACACACGCTTCTTCCTTGGCTCTAAAAGATGATCTTTGCATAATAATTGATAGTAAACGTTATATTTTTAAGAATAGACGTAGTTTCTTCTAAAAGGAGTTATTTAAGTCGATGCTTATAAAACATTTCCCATATTACTAAAGTAAAAAAAGTGTAATCCATTGGTCACTTAACTACTCAAATTGTTACTCGTCCATTATTAACTACGGCCACCTATAATTAAGACACAAAAAATTATGATCATTGTAATTTTTTTCCTTGTTACTACTTATTGAATTAAAAACGTAACTCATTGGTAACCCAATTATTCAATCCATCCATAACTTGTTTAAATCCATTACTCTCACCTGACAAAAATATTCACATGGAATATGAAATTCATACAGAATTATGCTATAGGGCCCGACTCAATGACAGCGCCCAAATACAGGACGTCGAGGTGGCCTCGACAGCGTCCTGTCATTTGTCCCGGTCATTGAGCCGGGACAAACATCAAAATCCATTCATATAAGATGCCTTTACCTCATTAATTACAACGCATCAAATTAAAACGTATCTTTGCTTTTGAAGATTAGGCCCACGGACAGTTTATCATTGGACTTTAATCTTGATTCTTAAGCTAGAGGCTTCGCCCGGTTTATAGAAACCACTAGAACCCAAACCGGTCCAAACCCAGCCTACAGATTAGTTTAAACGTAGGATTTACGTTGACTTTGGAAAATCACCCCAAGTCTCTCTGTCGTCAGTAATCGAGCAAAAAATGGCAACGAGATCTCTCGTTTTACGTAGTGGATTGAGTCGCTTAATGGAAATCAACTGTCGATCGTCGGCATCCGGCCTTCGCTACTTGAGCGATAGTAGCGGCCGTGTACTCAGTGAAGAAGAACGCGCTAAGGAAACAGTTTACATTCAGGTTTCACCGATTTCCCTTTCTGCAATTATATTGATTAATTATACAGTAGTTGTTTTTTATAGTGCTTTATTTGATTGAGTATTGATTTTTTATTTTGATTTGGATGGGGGATTTGAAGAAAATGGAGCGGGAGAAACTGGAGAAGCAGAAGAAGAAGGAGGCGAAAGAGAAAGCTGAGAAAGAGAAAGCTGAAAAAGTAAGCACTTTTAAGAGCTTATTGTATGTTTATTAATTTTTATTTTTTGGTTTGTGTTAAAGGAGGAAGGGCAACCTTTAGAACTATTTCTGAAGTTATGTAAATTCTACTAATCTGGAATGATTTGAAGATAGCATATCACTTATAAGTAAATAAGTAAAACTTTTACTGATCAAGGTTGAACAGGCAACTTCCATGAAATTGCCCTTTTCTATTTTTTTGCCAACTTTTCTTGATTATCACCTTATGTTTTTTTATCCTTCTTTGTTTATCAGAAGGCTGAAAAAGAGACTCATTAGAGCTGAAGTGGTTTGTTAAGGTGCACTGACTTTTGAACGCATGCTATCTTGGACTTATGAGAAATAAATGTATGTCACACCGGGTTATTCTTAATGAGGCTCGGTCATTGTATAGTGTTTGATGACTGTATCTTGAATGGTATTGGTACGAGTTGTGTTGTCAAAATATGCTTGTAAAACTTTTCAAGTTTCTTGGGTGTTCTCTTTTATACTTAATTGTGCTTATGATTTATTTTGTTTTGCATTGAGTGTAAATTATAGGTCGAATTCGTACTTCTAAACTCAACCTATTCAAAGATATTTAGGGGCAGTTTTGCTTGGTGTACATCAATGGTTGGCACTTTGTGATATTATGTGATGTGACACACAGTTTTGTCACTGATTTTAAGAACACTCGAAACAATCAATAGCCTCTATTTTTACACTTGACACAATGTCAACCATGATGTACACAAGAATGTATAAGTAGAATAATTCATTTAGGGGAATGGTATTATTCTTTTGTCATGCATAATTCATAAAGAATGTAGCATAAAGTTCAAGAATAATGCTCCTTGGACAAGGGCAATGACGGATGGGGTAACAGGGTGGCGTGGCAGACAATGATCGAGTGTTGTGATTTTTTTTTTCAAACTGTCTAATTATGTATTGACATGTGTTCCCTCTTTCATTGAACCCGCAACCGTAGCAAGATTGAAAGTTCTAAACCTTAGAAGCAGATGCGTGATGACTGAGTGAAATTTACTGCGTTGCCAATTGAGTTGGATGTTTCAGTATGCTATTGAAACCTTACATCCAAGTGATAGTACTCTTAGTCATTTAAACACCCGTAGCTCCATTTAGTAAAATACGATTTTTCCTTCCTACTTGAACCCTTTTGTCGTCTCTTTTTAATCTTGTGTCCCAGTCCAAATCAAAACAATACCCTTGGCAGTTCCCTCCTGGCGTCTAGATTGATAAAGTTTAAACTAGCATCATCAATAACTGATGGTTCAATGCAGAATAGAACGTTTTGGGTGATGAGCTTACTACAGCTACATACTTACAATACCAGATAAGAGTTGTGATTATAAACATTAAAGACGCTAAGAACAGGGGCGACTGTATAAAATGGAATGAACAGAACCAATATGGTCATCAAACATGTCAAACAGCTAATGATAGGATTCTCAGTCAAGCAATTTGGAATCGAACTTCAATGACATTCTGTACGGTGTACCGGGGCATTGTTAGAAAGAATTGCTAGCAATTTCTTGTCACGTGTCTATCTTTTCTTAATCTTGTCTAATCTGGTATGTTTAGGTGGATTGTCATACAATTTATATCTACACTCTTTTTATGCAACATAATATCCCTATAGCAACCGGACAAGGCTATGAAACAACATTTAGGTACCTTTCTCCACTCTTCGTCTTGTCATCAGAAATTAGAAATTTTGTTGGCCTCCTTGACTGAGAAAATTGGTAGGAGACGGCTTCTTTTCACCACCATTGACAGCGTCTGTTGGGTTGTTGCTCCCTTGATTGAGAAGATTGGTAAGCGAGGGCTGGATTGCACCATTATTGACATCGTCTGTTGGGTTGTTGCCTCCTTGACTGGGAAGATTTGTAGGCGGGGGATTCATTGCACCACTATCAACAGTGTCTGTTGGCTTGTTGCCTTCTTTACTGGGAAGATTTGTAGGTGGGGGCTCCATTGCACCATTATTGACGGCATCTGTTGGGGTTTTGCCTTCTTGACTGGGAAGATTGGTAGGCAAGGGCTCCATTGCACCGCCAGCGTTGGAGGCCGTCATTTTGCAGCGACCACGACGAGGAACTCTGATGGGCTGAAGCGTTATTGCACCACAATTAATGTTGAGACGCTTGTAATATCTGTGAGCATGACTACCAACCTGTGTTGGGGTTCTTGACCGGACAACATATTTTGCGATGGCCGTCAATTGACCTTTGCCGTATTCATTGAGCCCTTTCAAAAATAACCTGAAGAAAAGACCGCTTGTTGATGTTACTAATGCCATTGTCCTCTATAGTCGATCATAATAAAATTTTATCCATTGTCCTCTATAGTAATATTTTGATTACACACTAAACAAATCGATCATACCATCATTTGTAAAATATAAGATCATGCAAATATAATTCCAACCAAATAGGAAAAGTTTTAACAAAATAAATAAAAGAAACACGTACCAAAAATAATATTAAAAATTAAAATCAAGAAATGATAGAAAATAAAGAAAGCAGTTATTTTGCGTAACAATAGAAATTTACATCAATAAATGATATTAAGGGAAATCAATCATTATGCGTAACTATAAAAACCAAGAAGCCAATGCAAAACATATATTGATGAACGCACACAGATGTATGTGCGTGCTTGCTTGCTTGTATGTACATAATACCTGTGTTCTCCTTCGGTCCAACAGGGCCCGTCCTCGTCGACAACTCCACCGAAGCGAGTCGAAGTCTCAATTGACTCATTGTGGTTAATCGGATTATTGATCGGGTCCGCATTCGCTTCTTTATCTGGAAAATCAAAGACAGAGATTAAAGAATCCACGAATAAAGCATTGTAATGGGCCTTGATATCTTCTGGCGACTTCCCCGGCACCCGACTGGCGATCTTTTCCCAGCGATTCTCAACCTCTTCCGGGAACTCTTTTAGCGCATCCTCATAAAGCTTGTCATCGTCTACACTCCATTTCATCTTCGGCGCTGGATTCCCTCTCGGATTATCCATCACTTCACAATTTGATCAGTTTTGATTCAATGCGCTTTTGTTTCTCTTTGTTTTGATTTTGGGTAATTTTCCATGAAGGTTTTGAGAGAATTTCAGAGGGTTTTCATTCATAGGTAAAACTTGCAATGGAAAGAGGTTTTAGTAGAGGGAAATAAACTCTCTCTCTCTCTCTCTCTCTTCTTCTTTTTTTTTTTTTAAGTTTAATTTCTCTTGTAAATAAGTATTAAATATTTGTTCATTTACATTTTCATAACTGGTTTGATTTTAGTGTTAAGTAAATTTAATCAATTGATTACGTGAGTTTATTTATTCAAAAAGAAAGAGGGGGAAGAGAAGAAAAGAATATATATTTACATACGCGCGATTTCATGCCAATTTAAACCGTGAATGAGGTTGGTCGAGTATGAGGTTAATTTGAGGCTAAAATCATAGTTATTAAATCTGGCCGAGTCATTGACTCAGCTGAAGTATTGGGTCAATATTATGGTCATGTTTGTTTCGAATTAAAATCTGATTTTAATCCAAGTCAAAGTCAAAGTCAAACAATCAATATTAACAACATTTTTCATGGATCTCACAACTTTTCAATCATACATTTCAAAAATTTCTATCACAATCTACTAAAAATCTAATTTTAATTCCCACCAAACACCCTCTATATAACTGGCAGCGAGAGTATACATGGTTACCAATAAAATCCTCTAAAAAATTTTGGGTTTAAATCCTCGTTGGAGCCTCGTTCTCTAAAAATCGCAAACTCATTTTCTTTTCTCCAAAAAATGTGGTTCAAACAAAGCCTAAATGCTATGTACGAGAGGCTACAAATTTATGAGGATAACAACCAGATTCTCGACTTGGAAAGGAATTAGACGAGTTATATATGAGAAAGAGGAAGTCTGCTGGGCACATAAGAGGTAGGGCAGATTGGTTAGCTCTCGTGACCAGAATAGTCAATACTGCCTTTTTTCATCTTAAAAGCAGCTGGCAGCAAGGCGAAAAATACAATATTGGGTCTGGTGGATGAGGATGGAGTATGCCGTGAGAGCAAGCAGGAAATGGCAGCATTGGTTAAATCATTTTTCTCTGAGCTGTTTACATCTTCTCAGCCAAACATGAGCTCTTTCTTGCAGCAAGGAAGTACACGAAGGCCAACTTTATCGGATGACGAATCCCATACTTCGGATGCTCCTTTCATAGAAATCAAAGTTACAAAAGCCATTTCAACGTGGCCAGATGGGTTCCATACCAATGCAATTGGGAGATGGACGGAGGTGGTAAATTTTGCCTGAGTATTCTTAGTAGGGATCGCCCATGGATGTAATTGACACATATATGGTACTTATTCCGAAGGTCAATAGCTCGAGAAGTATCGGGAGTTTCCACCAATTGGCTTGTGCAATTGGGTTTTCAGCACACTGAAGGCATTTCATAGAAGAATATATGACAACGCTTTCTTCCTCTTTCCTCAGTCCGTGTTAGACAACCATTATTTGAAAATTCTTTTTTTAACATACTTATTTTCAACTATGCATTCACACAATAAAATATTCTGTATATAAATTCAAATTTTTTTTCTACTTTTTAACCACATTCTTCTAAAAAATTACTATTGGAAATTTTGTTTTCGTCAAATAATGGCCATCAAACATATGCGTTTAATAAGGGAGTACCTAGGGGCCGAGTCATGGGCCCTACGATAGGGTTGCCCACTATCTCTGTACCTTTTTCTACTATGCACAAAAGGTTTACCAGATTGTTACGCAGAGCAGAAAATTGATATGCAAATTCAAGATTTAACTATAGTCAAAAGGGCCCGTGGTTGGTCACCTATTTTTTGCCTATGATAGTTTGATTTTCAGCAAGACTTTGCCAAGTGATTGACGAAATTCGAAAGACGTTATTGAGGTGCCTGCTCAAAAGGTTAATACCATGAAATCAATGATCTCATTTAAAATAACGTTCCCCTTATGTGGGAGGAATTCGTGCATTGATGGGAATAGTGGGAGGAAAATCAATGATATAAATCACGTCATACAGAAGAGTGTAAATCAAGGTATAAGTGTGTAACCCACAATGTACTTGTAGCCGGATTGTCTCATTTAGCCCAAACACTCTTAACAACGCGCAAAGGCTGATTCTTGAATTTTTTTTGAGCGGAACATATACAACCACATGGTAAATAAAAATATAATTTTGCTACATTGGAAGGTTCAACGACAAGGTCAATGATAAAAAGAACATGTGTCAATACATTATTGATAAAAATATATGGCAGTACTATCTACGGACCAAGGCCTACCTAAATGGTATATAGAGCTTGTTTGTGAGAGATTTTTGAGGGAAAAATTGATTTTGAATAGTGATATGATGGGAAATGTGTGGTTGAAAAAGAAGAAAAAATTATTGATGTGATGGAAAATATTATTTTATTGAAAAATGTGTGGTCGAAAATGAGAATTGATTTTGAGAATCAGAAACATCTTTGTGAGTGTCTGTAAGACATCTGTAAACCTGTTGTCTGTAAGTGTAGCATGATCCGCTATGTATGAGAGGCTACAAATTTATGAGGATGACAACCCGATTCTCGACTTGGAAAGGAATTAGACGAGTTATATATGAGAGAGAGCTGGGCACATGAGAGGTAGGGCAGATTGGTTAGCTCTCGTCACCAGAATAGTCAATACTGCCTTTTTTCATCGTAAAAGCAGCTGGCAGCAAGGCGAAAAATACAATATTGGGTCTGGGGGATGAGGATGGAGTATGCCGTGAGACCAAGCAGGAAATGGCAGCATTGGTTAAATCATTTTTCTGTGAGCTGTTTACATCTTCTCAGCCAAACATGAGCTCTTTCTTGCGGCAAGGAAGTACAGGAAGGCAAACTATATCGGAGGACGAATCTCATACTTCGGATGCTCCTTTCATAGAAATCATAGTTACAAAAGCCATTTCAACGTGGCCAGATGGGTTCCATACCAATGCAATTGGAGATGGATGGAGGTGGTAAATCGTAAATTTTGCCTGAGTATTCTTAGTAGGGATCGCTCATAGATGTAATTGACACATATATGGTACTTATTCCGAAGGTTAATAGCTCGAGAAGTATCGGGAGTTTCCACCAATTGGCCTGTGCAATTGGGTTTTCAGCGCACTGGAGGCATTTCGTAGAAGAATATATGACAACGCTTTCTTCTTCTTTGCTCAGTCTGTGTTTGACAACCATTATTTGAAAACTCTTTTTTCTACATACTCATTTTCAACTATGCATTCACACAATAAATATTCTGCATATAAACTCAAATTTTTTTTCTACTTTTTAACCACATTCTTCTAAAAAATTACTATTCGAAATTTTGTTTTCGTCAAATAATGATCATCAAACATATGCTTTTAATAAGGGAGTACCTAGGGGCCGAGTCATGGGCCCTACTACGATAGGATTGCCCACTATCTCTGTACTTTTTTCTACTATGCACAAAGGATAATACTAGAAGTACATCACCATATACATAATGGTATACATATTGCTAATGTGGCAATCATCCTACATTTAATTCAAATTTGACACTGACACACAATGACTGGATGATTGACACATTAGCATTATGTACACCATTATGTAGATGGTGATGTATTTCTAGCATTATCCATGCACAAAAGGTTTACTAGATTGTTACGCAGAGCAGAAAATTGATATGCAAATTCAAGATTTAACTATAGTCAAAAGGGCCCGAGGTTGGTCACCTATTTTTTGCCTATGATAGTTTGATTTTCAGCAAGACTTCGCCAAGTGATTGACGAAATTCGAAAGCCGTTATTGAGGTGTCTGGTCAAAAGGTTAATATCATGAAATCAATGATCTCATTTAGAATAACATTCCCCTTGTGTGGGAGGAATCCGTGCATTGATGGGAATAGTGGGAGGAAAATCAATGATATAAATCACGTCATACAGAAGAGTGTAAATCAAGGTATAAGTGTGTAACCCACAATGTACTCGTAGCCGGATTGTCTCATTTAGTCCAAACACTTTTAACAACGCGCAAAGGCTGATTCTTGAATTTTTATTTTTAGCGGAACATATACAACCACATGGTAAATAAAAATATAATTTTGCTACATTGGAAGGTTCAACGACAAGGTCAATGATGAAAAGGACATGTGTCAATACATTATTGATAAAAATATATGGCAGTACTATCTGCGGACCAAGGCCTACTTAAATGGTATATAGCCTATTTTGTGAATTCACTACTGCCTAGATCAGTCTTAGAGCTTGTTTGATAACACTAAAAATCCAATTAAAATTGAAAATATAATCGTTATTGGGTCTCACCCACTTAATAAAAGTCAACAATAACGGCTAGTTTTTCAATTTTAATTTCTACTAAACACACTCTTAATCATCATTAGTGAAGAGGTCGCAGTCTGTCTGGTGGCATGGACGCATGGTGACTCGGACAAAAGCAAGCAAGAACAATGACATGAATCATGATTGATTGATTCGTGCATGAAAATCGAAAAACAACCAATAATTCAAACAAAAGCTCCAAGTATTTTATTTAAATAAAAAACAACCAATTGATAATAATGTTTGGATAAAAAAAAAAAAAAAATCTAATCAAGGACGAAGACGCTCTTACTTAATGTAGAACATTAGAAATAAAATAAAATATTAAACTAGGGAAAATAAAATTTTAAATTTGATTATGAGGATATTTCAACTCCATCATTCTCCGCTAGCTAAAGAAAATTCGTCATCGAATCTTGCATAGTGCTTTCATCTCGTGTCTCGTAACAACATTATTCGATTCAATGAGTCAACGATTGCATAAGCCCCTGTTTGGCCCCCATTTTTTGGGGTTGAAAATTTGTAGAATAGTGATTGATGGGAAAATGTGTGGTGAAAAAGTTTTAGATTTGTGTGTAATATTATTTTATTTGAAAATGTGTGGTTAAAATGAAGAGAGATAAAAAATTAATGTAATGGAATGAGAAAAAATAGGGCTCAAAGTTTCACCTCTAAAAGTTCCCTTCTCTCACAAAAATCCAATTGCAGCAACGAAAAGCAAAACTATGTGGTATCAAAGCACTTGCTACTATGCTTTGAAGGCTCCTTGTAAGTTTTGAATCATTTAGGCCTTCCTTCCACAAAAATATAGCGAAAAAAAAGTTGGAGATATAAGTGTAAAATTGAGCAAAATTTGAGGACTTCAATAACAATTAAAAATTCGTGCATTTAACAAAAGTTACCCTATTGTTTATCTTGAGTCCCCATTAAATACATTTACATTTAAGAATGTGTTCGGTAGAGATTAAAATCGGATTAAAATTGAAAAATTAGTCTTTATTGTTGACTTTTATTAGACGAGTGATACCTAATAATGACCATATTTTCAATTTTAATTGAATTTTAAGTTAGACCGAACAAGCCCTAAACAACTGGTTCAATTTTAGAAACAAGTGAACTTGAAATGTCAAGTTGTTCGAGTATGAGTTTACTTTGAGGTCAAAATCATTATTATGAAATTTGATTTTATCATTGACTCAACTAATGAATCGATCAATAGTATAATCGACATATATTTATTTGGGCAACACTATAAATAATTTTTTTAAAAGAAAAAAAATAATACAGAGAAATTTCAAGTATCGAAGTTTTTTGTTAAATGCTTGACTTGAACGCGAATAGGAAAAATCAGCACGACCCCTGCGCTCTCAATGAAAGGTCCAGGATCATTTGTACTTTTTGAAAATATATGAGGGACATATGCAGAAAACCGAAATTTCCGTATATAAGCATATCCCATATAAACGTTAAACCCTGTTAAGAACCCTACATACAACAATCAACCCCCCACCTTCACTTCGGACGCCGGTATTCCTCTGTGCGAGCGAAATTTAAAAAAAAAAAATTAAAAAAAACAGATTATCACATACTTTTACAATCGATCAGGTAAAAATACGCAGATTCATGTATTATAATTCTTCTGTTGGATGTAATTTTTTTGCCCTTGCTATTTAAGGAGTGAAACTAGGTTTGGCATAAACGACATGGACAACATCAGATTCAATACCAACTTGCTGCGGTCGCTGCTGAAGGAGTATGTACCAGATGAGAAGCACCCATTTCGTAGCCCTTCGAAGCTCTCGTCCGTTGTTTCTTCAATCAAAACTCATAAATTACTCTCAGAATGGGCCCCAGAATCCACCAACAAAAATGTGATAGATGAATTGAAATCTGCCGTGGATTCCTGGGTCAAACGCGTGTTCACTCTTGCCTCTAGTAACATGGTAAACCATCTTCAGAACCTCATTTTTATGTTATATAATCCAAATATGTTCAAGAAATGCATTGGTATATATTTATGTAAGATAGGTTTTAAATTGATGGGAATAACTTTGGTTTTCCTTTTGGTTAAGTATGTTGTGAATTTTCAGTAATCTGTATACATGATTTCACTCACAAATAATGAATATTAGATATTTCCGCGCATGAGTTATCAGGAAATGAGTCAAAAAAAAAAAAAACTTTTAGGTTTTGAGCAGAACTACAAGTGCAGCTAAATACATGAATTTGTACCTTTTTACAGAGAGTAATGAACTTGCTTTTTTTCTTTGAGTGGGGAGCGGAGGGGAGAGTGGTACCAATCCTCAAACTGGCTTTATAGATTCTACTACATGCTGGATTTTAATCAACATACGTACTTGCGCCCCTAAAATTTTGAATAAGACAGATTTGTGTTACCTTTTTAACTACATCCCTTGTGTGTGAGAATGCTACAGTTCACATTTGGGTGTTTGCACTCTACATGTATGCACAAACTGTAACTGGGAATGAAAACTTATTGCAATAGGCATATTTAATTACTCTCAGAGAATAATGGAATGTACACTAATGTGTTTAATTATTTACAAATGTGATTTAGCCAGACAAGTGTTGGGCTGGAATATGTTTACTTGGGCTGACGTGTCAGGAATGCAGTTCAGAGCGCTTCTTAGCTTCTTACTCAGTTTGGTTTAGTAAGCTACTTTCACTCATTCAGGTACTCCGAATAATCTCCGTTGTATCTACATATAGTTTTTGAAGTCCGGGAGATGTACTAATGTCCCCCCAAATTTGTGTTATCCCTTGAATATATTGTAATTTTGTCTAGTGACCCTCTTCTATAATTTAAGTAATTGCACGAAGTGCATATTCTTTATGACATCGATGTCTCTTGTTGGAGGTCTAACTGATATATTTTGTTTAGAAATTGTAGGATTGCTGTGTCAATCACAAATTTGAACTGATTTTTTAAATAACTGCCGGTTTGAAATACTTCTGCTGTTTCTGCTGTCTTTGCTTCTTCATAGACTCCAGCTGATTCTCATTTTGTGAAGGCCGCTTCTTGTGCCTCCATATCAGATCTTCTCATAAGGTTTGTGTATTTGGCTCCAACTGTACAGTTGAGTTATCATGTTATCTTTTAATTATTTGGTAGTAGCAATGAAAATATGGACCTCTGAGCCTCTGCTCTGTGAAATGTGTCAAATGTATTGTTGTGTAGATAAGTGAACAACAATGTTATTAGAATGGTGTCTGACAACGATTCCTTCTGCTGCTGGCAAATAATTGTAAATTCACATTCATGAACATAGAGCTGGAAAAACTGCTGTTTACATAGTGTCACCTGGTATATATTCTGCTGCAGCTTTCAGAAAGTGTAGAGTAACACTATCCGTTAGATACTGCAAAAATGTGGTACTGATAGTGATCTTCTTTGAATTGCCATTTTGATGTATTGCATGGAAGTTTATGCAACCGATTTTTCTGAGTATTGAAGAATTATTGCAAATCAAATAATTGAGGAAACTAAATAGTTAAAAACATTAGGTGGAGTATGCTAAAATACTTGAATTTTCAGAAAGACAAATTTACCCTTGGTGCGAATAGAAGCAACCGAACCCCTGATAGAATCTTGGTTATAAACTTCTAGTCTTGTAGTTTGATAACTTTTATCCAGCCTTTGGTCTAATAACTGTTACCCTGCGATGTTCTATACTATTTCAGGAAGCAATGAAGGTTGAATGGGCACACCATCAATTTCTTTCATCTTTCGATTAAGTAGCTCGACATTTTTTGATAGGCATAGTAGTTTAGCTTGGATTCAACGTGGTACTTGATAGGACCGGCTTATTTTCAACCCTCTACACATTTCTTCATGCATATTACTTTTCCATATTGTACCAAGAGATTAGCACTCTGCTAGCTGTTAACTGTATCTTCATTTTTAACCTTGAGGGGTTGCTCAATTGGTTAGGCTTTGGGTTTACTCCCCAATAGTCACCAATTCGAGTCTCCTCAGAACCACTGAGGTGAGTATCCGGCCGTAAACTTTAGAGTCCCGTGGAATTAGTCGAGGTGTGCGCAAGCTAGCCCGAATATCTACGGTTATCAAAAAAAAAAAAAAAAACTGTATCCTCGTTTCATGTTATCAAACCTCTAAACAGTTTTGGTCTTCTTTAATCTGAACTAGGCTGAGTGGATTTCCAAATACAAAAAAGGACGGAACTTCACAGGCTACAAAACTTATTCAGCCAGTTTTGAAGCTGTTGGATGAGGATAGCTCTGCTGTCTTTTGGGTTGGTACAATAAACTAATTTGTTTGGCATGTTGATTAGTTGTTTTAGTTGGCTTTCTACATCTATCTCCCTATCTATCTAAATACAAAGATTCAACTGTACTAAAAGTTAAAAGTGCCAATGCACTATCCTAAATGTTTATGTTATAAATGTTGGTGTACCATAACTGTGCCTTACTTGCATATGCAAAAGAAAGATCTTAAAATATGTTGTCAGCCTGTTGGTGATCAACGTAATTAGAATAATCAAATCAACATTTTAGAGGTCAACTCAAGAAGATCTGGCCACATTTTAGTTACCCCCACCCCATGCATCTCCACTGTAACACTGACAAATTGAAAGAAACGATAAGGGAAATAGTAAAATCAGCTTATGACATAAAACTGGGAGGGTAGATTATAACTATTCCATGGTATATCATCTACAACCCTTTGCTTTCTGGGTTACATATGTATCAAACTTTTCTATGATTTGTTCGTGCCTGTGTTAGGTTCCATTAGCTTTCATCTATAATGTGAAGATCTCTTTCAGTTAAGTTTCTGGTCTCCAAATTTTTACTTGTTTACTTGGTGATTAACTGCACAGCAAGAAGCTCTTTTTCTATTATGCACCATCATGAATTGCTTTCCGCATTCTGTTCATCGGAATCATGACAGCGTAAGTTCTCCCATCTGAGCTTTATGATATTTTCAATTTTAAAAACCATACAATGCCGCCAAGATAAAATTGAACTATTTTTAGAGATTAAAAACGAAATGTATTAACTATTGGCAGATTGAAGCTGCTATTCTTTCAAAGCTCATGTCAGGAAAATGCAGTGCTAGTGTTTTGAAGGTGAGAGTATTTTCATAAGTATTGACCTGGTAATATGTTGGCATTTAGTAGCCAAACCAGACTACAAGATAGATTAATTTGATTTTAATTTGCAGAAGCTTGGTAATGCCTTGTGTTTGCTTCCAAAGTCAAAGGGCGATGAGGATAGCTGGTCTTCACTGATGCTGAAGATTTTGCTATCAATAAACAATCAGTTGAATGATGTTTTTCAAGGTCTAGAAGAAGGTAATAGCTGGACATTTTGCAATTTCATTGCTGACTTGCTGGGAACTAAAAGTTATCTGTTGTCTTGCACTTTGCAGAGGCTAGAAGTAATGAGACAGTGAGAATATTGCTTCCCCCAGGGAAAGAAGCCCCTCAGCCCCTTGGAGGTCAAGCACTATCACAAGAAACCTCAGATTTTTCTATGAGGAGGCCTGAGCAGCTGTTGGTATCCAGAATCTCTACTCTCATGTACTGTTGTTGTACAATGCTCTCTGACTCTTACCAGGTTCAGGTAACGTCTCATGTCTGTATTTATTATCACTTATATGGGTGACATATATACAGAGCCACATTACAGTTGATAGGAACTAAATACAGTTCATGTATAGGTTCCTGTGCCTGTTCGTGCAGTAGTATCCCTTGCTGGGAGGGTGCTGATGGTTGATGGCTCCTTGTCACAAGCCCCGTATTCTTCCATGTTCGCCTTGAAACAGGAATTAATTTGTTCAGAACTTCCACTTCTGCAACTGCATAGTTTGGAAATGCTTTCTGCAATTATTAAGGGGTTGCGCAGGTGAATAATTTTTTGCTTTCATGTTCTTTTATTGTTGACAAATCAGGATTCTAATTGAGAATCAATATATTACTCTGGCAAATAATGAATTTGGAATAAATTGTAAGTACGGATTTCAATCAAACATAATAAATGACATTTTTCTATGTAAAAGAACAAGTATGGAAGAATCATTCATATCGAAAAACATTAAATGGTCATGCAGCCAGAAAGACGGACTTTACGTTGAGAGACCTGGATCTGAATCCCATCAAACTTTGAATTAAGAGTCCAAGTCTCTAAGTTAAACATGAAAATATGTGAACACCAACTTTTCAATTACAGAAGAAAAAAAACTAAAAGTAAAAGTGGATTCATTTAAAGAGGGAGGAATTATTAGATATGGAATTCCTATGATGTAAGTACCAGAGCACTAACAAAAATGAAAAGAAAATAAATATATAATATATTAAGCCCCTATTTGGTACACATTTTTTAGCCAAGACTGCATTTTTTTATGTGATGGAGAATATGTGGTTAAAAAAGAAGGAAACGTTATCGACGTAATGGAAAATATTATTTTATTGAAGAATGCGTTGAAAATGAGTAGAAGAATGAGAATGAAAAAAATAATGTAGCTCAAACAGGACTTAAATATCAATCAAGTGAGAATCATTTTTTAGACAATTCTAACCCTATTGTAATTCAATTGTTTGAATAATACCTTACTTTTCGTTTTTCAATATATATTTAATTTATTTTACCATTTAGTTACCATTGATGTACATGTACATTTGACAAATTCATTTCAATGGTGTACTTTCATTAATGTATGAATTCTCTTTCATTAATTCTCAGTTAATTAACATTCACATTCGTTTAATTAATATTCATTTTCATTTATGTACTTTTGTGTTATTTATTCTAATTATAAGTCAATTTAGAATTTCACATTTAATAATGCATTTCATCATTCACGTCCATGCATGCTAATTAACATCTAATTTTACTTAATTAGAAATAAAATAAATGATTTAACATTTATTGTCACATATATATATTCTCTGATATTAATTCTAAATTAATTAACATTCGTGCATATCCAAATATTACTTTTACAACACTTATTAAGCACGTTCAACATTGACTAGTTATGATAATGCAAGTGAGCGAAGCTTTTGAACTTGGAAAAAAAGTTAATTTTATCTTACAGAAAGTTCTTCAAATCCAAATGTTCTCTCCATTCTACTTAAATATTCTAATTAAAGCTGACCTTATTTAAATGTAAAAGTGTAGGACCACCACAGCAGAAAATCATAGGAAATAAGAATTTGCATAAAGAATTAATGAAGGCCAAAGTCTGAGAGTGTGGATCTACAGTGTAAAATCGTGGAAAAAACAGAATGAAGCTTAAAAGATTATGAAAGTTTTATCAAAATACATCAAAAATTTGCCTATACCTGGCTTGCAACTCCTATCGGACTTCAATATTTAGATTGTGGCTGTTTTTGCTGGTAGAACAGTGGTTTACTTTGCCCGAAAGACAGGTTAACTAAATAGGAGTTTACTTAAGTAGGACCAAATTGGAGAGAGAACAAAAGTGGGACTCCTTTGCTAATTTTATGTAGACAGCCTACTTTAAATGATTTTCAAGGATACGATGCTTCTTCCTTTTGAAAGCTGGATATTTATGCAGACTTTGAGAATTGATATTTTCACTAAATGTGCAAGAGGACTCTCACAGCATCCTTGATGGCCAGTCTGAGGCTCCTTCAAATTCAGCGCAGCACAGCCTCCCAAGATCCACTCCATTCCTTAGCTCCTTGTTGTAGTGCCCCTAGTATAAAGCGCCTGTGGAGGAAACCAAATTGGGGCAAATTTATTTGGGTTGCCTACTGTGGATCTACTTTCCTTATCTGGGACACCAGCTTAGGAGCTACTGCTGAGCACAATATTCGGTAGCTCGGGACTAGCTGCAGAGTGCATGGGCGAGGAATTACTAACAATTTAAGATGTGGAACTGAGTTTGTTAGAAGTGTAGCTTGAGAAGGGCTGTAGTGCGTGAAAGAATTTTGGTTCCTCAGCAATGAAGAGGACCTAAAGCATGTAGGGATATTTATGATGGAAAACTGAGGACATGAACACAAAGTTAAATCCAGGCTTATGTTTATTATACTCATAGCTGTAGAAAATTTCTTTAATTAGTAAATAACAGGCCTTTAATCAGTGGATAGCAAGATATGCTTGTTGACAGCATCTCCTAGTTGATCCTGAGGTTTCTGAAATTCCATCCACTGGACCACTGCTACTGAGGCAGACAGAGTAGTTTGAAACCTTTGGAGTGACAAGGGAGTACACTGTTTCCTTTTCCTCCTGGAGTAGATCTGGCCTGCTATTCTATGGGAACTTCTTGCCTACCTTAATTACAAGCACCAAAGAAAATACCTTTCTTAATGGGGTAAAATTGACATTTTCTCACATAACAAGGACTTTTTAATTAAAAAAAAGTGAAATAAAGACCTTTTACATTGACCATGAAAAAGGCCTCTGTAAAAGAAGTTGCCTTGACTAAATGCCATTTGTTGCCAATTACACTAACTCAACTTCCTTTCAATGTACACTTGTTTATTTTTGTTTAAATTTCCTTATTGCATAGAATTTGATCGCCATATCTTCAAATGGAATTGTTGTTCAATTAGGGCAGTGTTTTATTTTTGTTGCAGTCAACTATCTCCACACGTTGCAGATATCATTCAATTGCTGGCTGAATACTTTGGGAGATGCAGATTACCCATGCTTAGAGGAAAAACTTACGCCATTCTGAAAGTTCTTCTGTCGTCTATGGGTGTCGGTAAGGAGCTAATCATTCCAAAAATTATTATATGTTATTTGCTTATTTTTCTCAGTTGTTGCTTGACATTTGATGCCTGCTTCCTTTGTGCATAGTCTACCTAGTCTAGTTCATGTCATTAAAAAAGAGTCGGAGCCTAATTTTCACCTTTGGTTATGTTCTTTTAAAACTTGATTCTGTAGTGTAAAATCTCAAATATGCACAATATTCTATCTCATATTATAATGCATGTTATTTTTTATGTCCATATGCATTCACAGGTATGTCCACATATATGTAGACAATTATATATAATTATCTATTTCTGTAATTAATATGACCTTGCCTAGTTGAACTGACGTTAAATATTAACCTGTAAAATGAACAAATGAAACGGAAGTCAGTCCTCAAGATGTCCTGTTAGCATGGTGCTGGTTTATTCATATGGAACGACGTGTCCATATTTCAATAGAGGCTGGGATAGTATGATAATTATAAGTTCAGCAGATATCCATTACCAATTGTTGCTTTGAAGGGCATATGAGCTTTAGAGTGTTTCTTATAGCTTGTTTCCCTGAAGATGTTTGAAGCTGTCTCTTCTCTCCTTATCCTTCCTTTGACAATAAAAGCTTCATTAATGTGAGAGTCTGCTATGTTTCTTGCACCTGATGGGTACCAGTTAAGTTAATATGATCTGGGATTGCTTTTATTAATCGGGATTCTAACTGTGAATTTGTAAAATTATAATCAGGAGGTTAATTTTCTCACTATTGGTTGCTTTGAACAGGGGTTGCGATACATCTGAGCCAGGATGTTGTTACCAATGCATTTATTGATTTGGAATCTTTTGGTGATGAGAGGAAAGGCACAAGTTTTGGTGTGCATGCTAATGCCTCTGGGGAGACATTGCCACAATCTCGCCGGAGAAAAAGGAAGCAGGCAAGTATGACAGAATCCCTTCAGGAACAACTTGATAGAGATAATTTGGAAGTGGCCATACCCCAAAATCCAGCCGAATTATCTGTGAAGGTGGCTGCATTGGAGGCATTAGAAGCTCTTCTAACTGTGGTAAGTTTCCGTTGTAATCATCGTTGCATCTATTGGGTGGTGAGATTGGAAACATTTTTTTGATTCACTTTTCTGTCAACTTTTGCATAAATTGATATCATCACTACAAATTTCTGGAAAACTGGATAAGCTTTTAGTTGCTATCCCTGTGTTCAATTGGTATCAGGGTCAGCGTTTGTCATTCATTCATTTTGCCTCACCTGTTATTTCTTATCTAACTAATCACCATGAATAATCTGTCGCCACCATCTTTCAGGATAGACTGGAAGCTTCTTCTTGTTTTTCGTTCCCAGTTATACTCTATTTTGATAGCAAGAAATCCCATATACTTTTATGTATTGATTGCCACTAATTTTGAGATGTCAACTTTGGGATCATTTTCTGATCACAGTACTTTATTTTTTGACTGGTGAATTACCTTCAATAACAAAATTTTGAATATCCTCCTACATATGGTTCTTGCTTTCATCTGACATCAGAGCATAGCTTCATAATTGATGTTTTTGAATCTAAATGATCATACTTACGAATCAGTCCTGGTTTCCGCAACTGTAATTCTTTCTTCGGTCCACTATTTCCTCTTCGTCATTTATAATCTTGATTTGACAGCATTAATGTCTTTAAAGTTAATAGCTATGCTTTGAATCAGTTGTACTTCCTACAATATATTAATGATGTTGCCCATTTCGGAAATTGGTTTTTCCTCTTAATCTAAAATATGTTTTGTAAAGGAGTTGTTTCATTTTTAATCTCTCCTTTTCGTTTTGTTTTAATCTTGATACGCACAAGAACATAACCATTATTAATAGGGTGGTTCATTGAGATCCAAGAGCTGGCGAGCAAATGTGGATCATCTTCTTATTAATGTTGCTACAAATGCCTGTAAAGGAGGATGGGCCAAGGAGGAAAGAAGTATTTTTCTATGTGATGAACCTACTCCACTCTGGGCAGACTTTCAACTGGCGTCCTTGCGTGCACTTTTAGCATCTCTTCTTTCGCCAGGCCGTGTTCGGCCACCGTATTTATCCCTTGGTCTAGAACTTTTTTGTAGAGGTAATTATTGTTCTTTTTTATATACGTTATTCTTTTTAGTTTCTAGAAAAATGAAAAAAAGGCATTAGACAACTGCAGAGCATATCTCTTGTAGATTCAGTGGTAATCAAGTATTAACAAATTAATGTTAGAAATTAGCTTTTGGAACTTTGCTCCTGCAGAATTTGATAAAGCATTGCAGATTATTGTGATCGTTTGACTGAAGCTCGGTTCTTTATGACATGAAACTATCTTTGATGTCCATTAGTCTGTATAACCCAAAATTGTTGTGAGATATCTTGACTATGTGCTTGTTATTTCTTTTTAATTTACAGGCATGCAAGAAGCAGGATCTCGCCTTTCTCAATATTGTAGACATGCCCTTCTGGCCCTTGAAGTGCTCATACATCCTCGGGCCCTTCCATTGGTAGATTTAGCTTCCACCATTGATAACTATGAAGGTCTGAGCGGCAAGGTTCCAGAGAATGTTACATTTCAGGTCACGGCACTTGGGAAAGGTATCGTTGAGCCTGAATCAGACGATGAACTATATAAAAATTGGCTTGGAAGTGATGATGAAATGGAAGAAGTTCCAGTTACTAAAAGGAACACAAATTATACCGCAGAACCCTCTGCAACTGCAAGATCTCTTTCACCAGTGAATCTTCCCAACAAAAGTGGGGTGTCATCATCTGGTGCCACTGAGAGAATTGTGGTCGATAGGGACGATGTTATGGTTGAATTACAAGAAACAAATAGTACTGGTGGTGACAAACTCGGAGAACATGTGCCAAGTACGGTGGCTGGAGATTATCCTGACGGTCATACTCGTAGGATAGTATCCAATAGTGATGCATTAGATCTAATGAACACTAAGATGGCTCCGGTTCCTAATGATACTGCAATGATGAGCGATATTGTAATCACTGCAGTACATGAAGAAAATGCCGAAAAGAATGTGTTGGGAACCAAAGATGGTGGATTCAATACTATAATGGAAAAAATATCTGCTACCATATCCAATTCAGAGAAAAGCAAAGGCTTGACAGGTGAATCTGATAATGAATTGTCATTGGATTCAATTCCTGATATCATTGATGGGGATCCAGATTCGGACTAAATGTTAGTTTCTTGCATGTAAGAGGATGTAACAGCAAATTCTCAATGCCAAGTTTTGACCCCTGTAGTTTTTAAAGTCAATTTAATTTGTTACTCTTTTACCCATACCATGATTTCCATTTAGTTGGTGCTTAGTGACACTTTCTTGGGCATGTTGCATTGTAAAATAAAGATCTTTAAATTTAAAAACGATTTTGATTTACTAGAAATTGATCTATATAGTTTATGAATAGATGATATCAATTTGCTATATTTCAAGGACATGGACATGGTTGCTTGTTACTGCCTCTTGGGCTCTGGCCCCTTATAGGCGTAACTTGGACCATACTGAATTGGCATGGCCCAATTTTTTGATAGCCATTGTTGTCCAACTTGCCTAATTCTTTGAGACTGTAAGTTCCAATTACTGGGAACGACTTGTCTCTATGGACAGGTTGGCTTATGGCATGGTTCGTGCTGTACGGTGACAGTGCAGTGCTTGAGCTAAACTTCGTAATGTTACAATTTTGAATCTAGTTATGAACCATCTTGCAGTTACTTCTCTTGCTGATTTAAACGTCATGTATTGTATCATTTTCTAAAAGTTTAGTTCACTAGCTGCAAGTACTTAGACATTGATTTCTCATTAGTGATATGGGACCTGACAGCAGGAGTAATTTAAGGTCCCATTGATTAGCTATGCCTATAATGTAACTGTTTTTGTTGGCAACTTCAGTACAATAGTAATGGTTTTCATTTCTTCAACTAATGTCATCAAACGGGAAATTGGTTTTACTTTTGGATGGTAAGCCGTTCTAATAAACAAGATAGTCAGGACCACTTAGCCATTGTAACGTACAAGTACTTACAGAAAACAAATTAATTGAGTCGTGATGGTTCATTGGTTACGTATTTAAAATTAATGACATTTACTATTGCACACTTGAAACAAACAATACAATTTAGTACTGTAAACATAGAAAATGTGAATGAAATAAAACTTACAATTTAGTACTATATTGATTGGTTGAATGGAAATGAAATATCCTTTTGGGTTTGGTGAAAAAAGAGCACACCCTTTCCCCCTATTCCGAGAGAGTGTGCTACGAACTTCTTTGATGCTTAATTTTTAAATAAGAAATACAGTATCCGAAAAGTAGTGCAATTTTGACAAAATAAGTTATAAGGTAGGTAAGTATATAAAATTAATTTTCATGTTTTAGTCAATCGATCAAATCACGTTCAACAAAGAACCATTAGAAAAATGAATTATAGAGTCGGGTTCGCAAAAAGTGAACATTTAGGTGCCAAACTTCTCCGGAGATGAGACTCAGTGTGAACTCTTATGGAAGTTCAATAGACTATTTATCATAGTCCTACTCGGCACAGTCGAAACGCAAGCAATATTAATTTTATTTTTTTAATGTTGTAATTTTCGTGCAAAATTGGACCCCACACCTTCCTAAGTTTCAACTAAAACAAACTTCTCGTTCAACAATGGAGGTTGCTCTCTATGACCATTCATGAGTCTACACACACACTTACGCATATGCATATATAGAAAACTGTATATACGTACACATCATATATAGAGAGAGCGATCCCCATTCACTTGTGCAGTGAGATCTGATTCTACACACAGTTGTTTCTCTCTCTCTCTCTCTATCATCGGAATTCACGCAATTTATTGAAGTGGAAAATGGCGGAGAAGTGGGTTTTGACGGTGACGGCGCAAACGCCGACGAATATAGCGGTGATAAAGTACTGGGGAAAGAGGGACGAGAATTTGATACTGCCTATTAATGATAGCATCAGTGTCACTCTCGATCCGCAGCACCTTTGCACCACCACCTCCGTTGCCGTCAGCCCGGCTTTCACCCACGACCGCATGTGGCTCAATGGAAAGGTATATTATTAATTCTATCATCCATTTTGTATGTATTTGTTTGTTTATTATTTATGATTGTATAATTGTTGTTGTTTTGCCAGTATATCAGCTAATTAATCCATGAGACTTCTCATTTTTTCAGCCTGGTGATTCTGTACAATAAATTTATCTAGGTCAAAAAATTTCGAAAATTTTCAGGACTGTAGTCTTTCTGGTTATTTTGTCTAGTAGCTGATTTATTTGAAATAGAGAAAGCAAAAAACTTGTTGAGAAAATTAAGAAAAATGGAAAAGAGGAAACAGATTGATTGGGTGGGCCTTCTATTGGTATGAGATTGTGGAGAAGTCTTTAGCTTTACTATTGGAATGAATACAACTCTAGTTTTTTTCCTCGTGGGTGTTTTGAATTTTCATTTTTTCCCTTTGTGTGGTCGTGTCTTTGTTGTTATGCTGTGAGTGTAAATGTATGAATGGAATTTGACAGTTACTACTATATTCCAATTGCAATAGAAGCAGTTACTGATTACTTTCTTGTAGAAAGTGAGAATTTATCTATCAAACACTCTATTCTCCCTTTTAACTTTACTCTATTTAATTCAATTGCCTTTTCCAATTTTTAGGGGATAGAGGTTTGGTGAGAGGGGGAAGAGTGGATGATTTTAAATAATTGGAATGGAAAAGCATAGCATAAGAATTATTTGACTAGAAATTACAGGTTCTTTTAATTTGCTTTGAGTTGGCATCTTGTATGGTTTCTACCTCATTTTAAGTTCAAGTGGATTTTATTGTTGACCAGTGAAACCATTATTTAATAGAGGTGAATTATATGAAAGTGACAAAAAGATGAATGAATATTCAATAGAATGATATGCTTTTATTCTCATGTATTCATAAGCTGAATCTGCCTCCAATTCCAATGTTATTGTTTCTTAGTTTAATTAGATTATAAATTGATACGTGGCATGTTACATTAATGATAAAGAAAGAAAAAATAAACCAGTTATATAGCTTAGCTTCTAATAAATGTCAATTCATTTGATTTATTGTTTAATGTTGATTTACAATACTAGATTGGTTACCTTATTGACGTTATTTTTCATTTTTCAAACTTTTCTGTTAAATTTTATCGAAACCTTTTCTATTTCCCACTTAAAAAACAGGAAATAGTAATGTTTAAGTGACAGTAAATTTTGGATCTGTCTTTCATCCTTGTATAATTTTGTTTGGTTTTGACATGCTATGTAGGTTTCTCTTCCTTGAGATTTTCAGAAATAACAAGGTAAAATATAAGAGATTCTGATATGAGGTTTTATGTATGAATTCCTGTTAGTGTAGGAAATATCCCTTTCCGGAGGTAGATACCAAAATTGTTTGAGGGAACTTCGGGCTCGTGCTAGTGATGTTGAGGATGAGGAGAAGGGTATTAAGATTGCAAAGAAGGATTGGGAGAAACTGCACTTGCACATTGCTTCCTATAACAATTTCCCTACTGCTGCTGGTTTGGCTTCATCAGCCGCAGGTTTTGCTTGTTTAGGTAATATTAACCCACTCAGTTGTTCCTGTATAAATAACGTAGCATTATACTTGTTTTCTATATTGTATGGTTGATCTTCTAACAGCTTTTAATAGTGAGCATTCCAAGACATGAATCTTGAAATGAAATTTTCAGTCATTTAGATATTCAAAGTAAAATCTTCTTCATCTTAGGGAGAAATAACATCAAATAAGTAAAAACAAGTTGTGTTAACTTGACTTGATCTCATTCCAGTGATCTATGTACAAACTCTTTAAAAGTGGGAAGAAGAAATGGTGGACAATTAATCTGCGATTCTGGTTACTGCCCACTTCACACCAATGATCTGGATCTTATTGCAAAAAATTTTGACTCATCGCCTTTGCATCTGATTTTGGGCTCTTAAGCCTTTCACTTTTAATGGTCTTTAATTTTTTCTTAGCTATTGTGTCTTCGAGGCCTTCCCTTGGTATTCTTAGGCTCCCTTCCTAAATTGGACTTTATTTTTATGCATAAATATATACCACATCCTTGTGGTGGTTTGACAGAAAAAGAAAAGAAAATACTATACTTTGTAGAGTACTTAGTTGATTTTACATGATTTTCCTCATTCTATTTGACTCCCAGTGTAAGCTTTGGTGATTTTTAAATGGTTTACAACTTTTATTTTACTCAATAATGTAATAGTTGTCCTTATTCTTCAAATTACTACTAGTGTGTTTCTCCAACAAGTTATTAAAATTTTCACTTGTTACTAGGTTATGATGCGTATAAACCCCCCAAATTAGACAGTATAGAGCATGCCTTGAATGGATAATACCTTCAGGTAATTAGGGAATGGAAAATAACCTTGGTGAGAGCAAAAGAAGGTTATGTAATGAACTTGTTTGATTCGCCATTAAATGGGAAGTGTAAGGAATAGAGATTTTCATTTGTTTGCTTAAAATTAATTGCTGAATCAGACTAGGAATGAAGACAGATTGGTTGTGATATGCAATCATCAAATAGTAATTGAAAGCCAAGTGTTATTTATTTTTGCTTGAGCCAATTATAGGAATTGTATTCCATTCCGAATTATTTAGCCCCTATTTGTCTCCCTTTAAAATAGAACTCTTTAATTCTCATATTTATTTTCAATCACACATTCACAAATAAAATATTTTGCATGTAAACCCAAAACTTTTTCTTACTTTTTAATCACACATTCTCCAAATAATCACTAGTCAAAACATCATTTTTTTTTTCAAAATAATGGCCATCAAACAGGGCTTAGATAGCAAATGTAAATCAAAGCACCTAATCTCTGTATTTTACTCCTTACAGTTTTTTCCCTTGCTAAGTTGATGAAAGTGAAAGAAGATCACAGTAAACTTTCTGCTATAGCAAGGTAAATGCTTATCCTTATGTAAACTTCTTTTAGTCCATTGCAGTATTATACTTGTCTTATTTTTAGTTGAAAAGGAGAACTAACCTAAGGAGAACTAACCTATCTGGATTCATCTATCATTTCTGAGCATATAAGCTAAATTTTATGGGACATAGGCAAATTTTATTGTCTACCACAAACCCATATGTTGTGTTTTCTCCCCCTATGATTTAATGTCGAGTATTAAATTCTCATAGAAGACAACTAAAATTTTTTACTTGGAATTCATGAGAAAATGATAGTTTGTGTATTAACTTCCAGGCAAGGTTCAGGAAGTGCTTGTCGCAGCTTGTATGGTGGATTTGTCAAGTGGATCATGGGAAAAGTACAATCAGTTTCTATATTCCATCTTGGTGGATTTCTTTATATATAGCATGCTTCCCTTTGATGTTATTTTTCTAATTTCTTTTTCCTTGATCTCTGCAGGAGGAAAATGGAAGTGACAGCATTGCTGTACAACTTGCAGATGAGAAGCACTGGGACGATCTTGTGATTATCATTGCTGTTGTATGGTCCCTCTCTCCATTGCGAATCATTTTATCATCTTTAAGCACACCATTCTGCTAGCTGTAAAATATCGTAATTATAGATAGTCTTTTATGTTTTTAGTTTTTCTCTTCCTCTCAAAACAGTAATTTTCAGAAACTTCCTGTAGCAAGCAATTGAGCTTCTTTGCTCTTAGATAATTAAAGTCCAAAAAGTAAATTTAGTTTCACCGGTTATGAATTTACTATATTTGTCCTCATTATGTTCTAGTCCAAACAATATTTCCTTCGTAGGTTTTGTGGAACATTGAGTAACTATTACATATGAAAAAACTGTCTGTCAATTTAATTGTTTGGGCTGCAGTTCTATTTTTCTGACAAAAAAAGGGTGAGAGTTATAGGGTACAGATGATTTAAAGATATTAAGCAGACAGCTTAACTCGAGCATTTCATGTTTTTCTTTTGTTGAGCTTTGATTTAGTAATTGCTCATTTAGCAGTAGTATGCGTTGATGACTAAACCATTGACTTGATACAAAAATTGGTTTATAATGTTCTTATATTACTTTTTGATAAATCAAAATTCTGTTGATATTTTGGCAAAAAGTGGGAGGGCCAAACTCCAATGTTTTTTCCAATATAAGCACTTCCACTATTTCTCTTCGTCCACCATAGTTTACTAAGCTCTCCAACCTCATAACTTCTTGTTCATACTTTTCATTGTAGCCTCCTCAATATTGTTCTCATCGACAGTCTCCACTCTTTCTACCATCTTCTTTGAGTGCCTAACAGTAATGCTGTTTCGCCTTCCTCCATTTGGCCAAAAGGCACATCTAGGAACTCGCTTAAACCTTTCAATTCCACCCAGTTGAAAATTAAGGCAGCTATACCTGTCCTCTTAAGACCAGCTCTCTACAGTTCTAGTGGATATTGCTCAACATCCCATGATTGGTATTTATGATAGCGTGATGAATATCCAAAACCTGTTGCTGGCAAGTAAACACTTCCTACCACCCTTAGTGAAGCTCAATATTTCCCCTTCTGGTTCTTCATCTTAGCGGTTGTCATACTTGAGATTGTATATTACTTTAATTTTGACTTGGGCTATATCAGTCTCTTTTGAAGAAGTAATGCCACTGTGCAAAGCATTTC